ACCTTGGAATGATGATTCCACTGTCAATACCAACAAGCGCAGGTTTCAGTCGGTTTCAGAGTTCTGCGAACGGATTTCGCAACCATCCACAGTGTGTTTGTCACTGTCATGATTCCCAACACGAAGGCAAACGTGGAGGGTATTTTTTCTTCAGCTATCGCTCAGCCGCTCAGCTTACCTCTTCAGATACTGTGGATGGACGAAATCCATTTTGCACCACTTTGAACCCATGAGATTCCATTCTTTGGCGGTATTTTTTATAGGGGAGTCAACCAACATTCCGGGGGTTCTGAATGGTGTAAGAGGATTTCGCGTCCATCCATCCACAGTAGCTCTAAAAAGGTTTGAGCCGCACCCAACTCGGTTTCGGGCGGGCCCAGCGGGCCCAGCGGGCCCAGCGGCTTCGCCGAACGCTGTCAATTTGTTTGGTTTGGTCCGTTTGCAACTTTTATGGGGTATCACAGGCTGGCGAAGAGGAGGCGAGAAATGTTGGGAGAAGGCGCCCTGACTGTCTCGTGTTTTTTGCGGAGAACAAAGGGAAAAGGCTGGACGCGGTCGGTTCACAAACGTTGGTTACTTGTGGCCCGAAGAACAACAACGCCTTTCCGTTGGTTTAGGCTTGTTTCCACTGGTGTGTTTGGCCCGGACTGGTTTCCCGGCTTAGTTTTGCCAATTCGACGTTGCTGATTCAAGAGAGTCGCCGGGGGGGGGGGGCGGGGGGAGGGCGATGCCTGCAAGAAAGGCAGCTTTGACACCTGGTGCCGCATGCCCAAGAGTGCCAGCGTTCGGTCTGTCCTCAAGTTCAACTTTCTGCTGTGGGAATCAGTTACCTGCCCACCAATTTACATGGAACCTGACAGGGGGACTCGGAAAATGGTCCAAACCAGGACCCCCTCCCTGTCAGATTCCAGGTGAATTGGTGGGAGGGTGGAATGTGCAGGTCATTTCAGTGAAGGTCCAAAGACCTTTCGTTGTCAACCCGCAACAGTTCAGAAGGCACTCTGGAAAGCACGCTTTTGGCTTGACCTCTCAGCTCACGGTGTTTTTATTGCTTCATGCTGCATGCTTCTTCAAGATGAGCCCTGGACAAATTCCACCGAGCTGGGTAGAAGCACATCATCCAGGATCATGGTCCTTTACTGGTGGCTTCGCTATCTCCAGTTTATGAATGGCAATTGGGCCAAGAGCGGATGATGCTCTGTGTATATGTATACTGATGAATATGCAACTTGCGAGTACGCCAGACATCAGCCCCCGCAAGTTGCAGGGTTTTCGTTGTCCCCTACTTGCTGGCTGGGCCATCTGAATTTGTTTGTGCCCGCATCCCCACCTTCAAGAAATGTGCAAACGGGCGGTGGGCGGCCTTCCAGACAAATGCTTCCTCTGTGCGTGCAAAAGACACCTGGAAGCAATTCTGGAGGGGAGCGCTTTCAACCCCGCGTGGATCCGGGTTGCCGTGCATTGAACATGTGCTTAAAGAATGAAGCCATGAGCTTGTTTAGACCCTTGCAGAACCATGACCCGTCCATGTTGCCGTGCATGTTTCCTTGGTGCCAGGGACATATATGCAAAGACTTCCCGGAAACGATGTTAGTCACTTGCTTTTCGGGTTTGCCTCAAAGGACTTTCAACATGTATTGTTTTTCTTTTGGTGTCCCTGTGAACCAACCCCACAAAGGGTATATATAAAGAAATACGTACGCACCCATTTGGGGATGCTCGTTTTTGATCGAAGGCGACGACGTGCGCTTGCCGATGAACAGCTGTGAGTGGTAGAGAGCATGATGGGACTCTGACAGCAGGGCCTCACTTGCCCCCTTGTTTTTTTCTCAAAAGAGGGGTAGTGAAGTGTTCCCACACCATTTGAAGACTGTACAGCAGACAGTCTCTCCAGGGCTATGTTCTGACAGCCATAATTCCCTGTGTCAAGCGCATTTGCAGGTATTTGTTATGGATGCTTATCTTGCCACCAAAGCTTGTAAGGCAGCGTCTTTCTTGAACCAAGCCCTTGATTTTTGGATAAAGTGAGGATGCACGTGCAAGCAATCAATGTCAAGTTAACATGTATATATTACAGAGGTTTAGTTTCATGGTTTGATTGGATGGGAGGCCCATCCTTCTTTTCCGGGTGATGCTGCGCTGCTCACCTTCGCTCGTTGGCGCGAATCAATTCTCTGTGATTAGATTACTAGATGGGTCGTCCTTTTCCCCGAGGCAAACGGACGAACGGCTCTTGATGGTTGCCCTGGGTTGCCCTGACAAGTTTTAGTTGCTTCCCGAGTCCTAACTACCTGGAGCTTCTTGGTGTTCATCATGTTAATGGTGCCCCCTACTCCAAATACCAACTCTGTTCAGGTTGTGATGTCCGACTCTTCACCAAAAAGGTCGGTATTTTCCATGGAGAACCAGGCTGTCAAAAAGCGGGTATTTAGAGTAGGGGGAAACTCACTGCCTGAGTTCATGGACCTTATGCTTTTTGGGAAAGACCACTTTCTTGGCACTCAAAAGTCTAGGTTTTGTTTTTGTGAAGTGAGGTAAGCAAAATGTTCAAAGTTGTTTTGTAGCCACTTGCTTGATTCGATGCAGTTGCAGTAACAGTTCTCGTCTCGTTTCCGGGGGGATGGCCCAGCCTAGATGTGCCCATCCCTACAAATAGGGGGCACGAGATTCGACGTGACTTTGGGCTGAGCGCCGAGCTGGCAAGAGCTCCAAGTGGCACAGGATTAATGAACCCCGGCTTATGCTAGGGGGTGTCCGATTCTGGGCTTTATAGTGGGCAATCAGACCACTTTTGAAAGGGAACACATCCCCTATCCATTAAATGAGGGAGAACCAAAATCCGGGGTAAACATGAAGAGAAAAGTTCGCCCTTGATTTTACCAAGCGCCTCCTTTGTACAGCTTTGATTCCCTCAAAGCTGCAATTCGTGTGGTGACCTGCTTGTGCTCATATTTTTGGCACACTTCTAGCCGCTTGGGGCCCCAAGAGCTTCGTGATGGAAACCTATCAATGCCCAGGCATGTTCGTGATGGAATCAAAGGTAGCCAGAATCATTGGTACCCGCCTCCAGGCGATTCCATGGAAGCTCCCAGAACCTCCTGGGAAGACTCGGCTCCATTTACCTTGGTGGCTCCCAGCCATTCGGTTCCATCGCTTCTTAGCCTTTCAGTGTTTAGTGGTAGTTTCCATTTAACCGACCAAAAGTGATTCACTTTTAGCGGGGGATCTGAGGGCAGCCCAGTTACCGTGGCCTTCTGGAAAACTACCATGATAGTCTGAGGGAGTGGAGCCAGAATGTATTTTTCGCTAAGCCAAAGTGGCGCCTCTGCCAAAGCCACTCTTCGCAAGGCTACTGTGACCGTGCCTTGCCCGAGCCTGCGACATCGCACAACGAGTTTTCCGGCCTAACAGCTGTGGAGCCCTGCAGGGGGCCGTGGAGACAATGAGGAAAACTCTGCGGGCGGCCGGGCCTCGCAAACTTGGACGCATGAACTGCGCTCAAAGACTGAATGTATATACCACCTTGTGACCAATGAAGGGCGTGTTTAGGTTTGGATGCATGTGTACCACAAATTGAAGCTTGTAAGGCAGTATGTATATATATATATATGTATACAACCCCCTCCCTCCCGCATGGATCTACCTTCCTTCACTGGTATGTGCAGTGTGTTCTGCCTTTTTGGGGGCTTTGGGGAAAGCAGCAAAAAGAGGCGCATGTCCAAGGACAATCCGAAAGCTGCAGGCCAAATTGTTCCAGATAATCTTGAACTCAGTCGGTTTGGCCTCTGTCCTATTTCTAATCTGAGTTTTGGTCATAAGATGCACAACAACAGCTGTGTTGGAGCCATTGGCGCAAACGTGAATGCGTAAAGAAGTAAAGTTATGGAGCCAATGACCCAAAAGTAAACAAGGTAAAACAGTAAAGGTATTGCAGTTCACGATCAAAGCATTCTACTTCAGGACCATGGGCTGGTTTGTTTTACATTTTTTCTTTTGGTTCATTGGCTCCAGGCATGTTTTTTCAGTTCCTTACTTTTTTACTTTTGGATCATTGGCTCAAGATATTTTCTCTTATTATTTTGGGTCATTGGCTCCAGAACTTTTAAACTTGTGGGTCATTGGCTCCAGAACTTTGCGCTTTTACTCTTGTGCTATTGGCTCCATGATTTTACGTTTTCACTTTGGACCATTAGCTCCAACATAGCAGCTGTTCTGAATCTTTTGACCAAACCTCACCTTAGGCAGGACAGGTTTAGGGTGTTGATTGACTCTTCGTGTATTTGAATCGGACTTGCTTTTTTAGTAGATGTTTGTTCAATGAGTTTCATTGGACACACGTCTTTTGTTCAAACAAAACACACCGTGTCTTGCGTTTTAAACTCGGTTTCAGGCTTGGAATTCAAACTGTTCGATAAGTATTAAACAATCACTTTGATGAATTAGACATCGTGTCTCAACATAGACTTGCAATATGATGTTAAAGAGGATCTGTTTCTAGGATTGTGTTTGTTCAATTTTCTAATTAGAATTGAAATGGAATATGAGAAGGAACAGACCCTTTGATAAAGATAATCTACATAGGATGCCCTTGTCGAAGAAGATCTGTAATCAAAATTGTTATTTAAAACTAGATGTTCAAACGGTTTGCTTGTTGGCATATATTGAATAGAATTTAATAAGGACGTAATTCTATTATAATGTCTTGTTTGAACGAGAATTTGCATAGGTTTTTCCACTGACGATTCGTTCCAAATTCGAGGTTCAAAGGATGTGTTTTTCCACGATGATTTGCTCAATTTTCGAAATACAATTCAAATAGAAATTAACAGTGAACAACATTTAATATTGTGTCTAGACATGAAGATAATTTAACCAGGATTTCCATTTTAAAGAACATCGTTAATTGGGATTCTTACTTCAAAACATATTTTACAGAGACTGTCCTTTCCCGAAGTATTTTCCCCACTGTCGATTTGGAACTAACTGCAATCTAATAAGGACATAGTTCTAGTATAATTTTAATGTTTAAAGATAATTCACTTAGGTTTTCTTTTTCAATGCAAATCACATAGTTGAAATTGTTATTTCAAGCTAGGTTTTGAAGAGGATGTCCTTGCTTAAGGCGAGCTGATGCTGGTCAAGCCGCATCGACCGTTCTAATTAAAACAACTGCATTCCATCTCCCAAATAGCCTGCAAATCAGAAAGCAGGTAGATCCATCGGGGGGTGCATATATATATATATATACACATATATGTTGTATATAACCTGCATACCTCCAAAACTCATACGTGAACATGTCCTTAACAGTAGCCGCTCAAAACCTGGGGATTGATGAAGGTTAGTCAGGGGCAGTCCCAGCTGGAAATAGTTTCGGATATCCGCCTTTCTAATTCTTGAAGCATGGCTCTGGGTTCACCATTTTTGTACCAGGCTTTGATTGTGACTCACCTGGGCTCGTAGTAACTGCAAAGATACATTCAGCCTCGGAGCAGTTAGTTTTCCAGCCCCCTTGGAATACCAGCGCGGGTTGGCCAGAAGCAACTTGAAGCGACCCCCGGAGGGTGAGAGAAACATGCTTCAAAACCCGTTCTTCAAGTTCAGCCTCCGTTTTGTGTCCCTCACAATCGCGGCTATGGCGCAATCAAAATGCTGGCTTGCTTCGCCAACCCCAGAGACAAAGCGAGCCGTTTCTCCCCGCCGAAGGCAGGAAGGAGCCTCAGAAAATCGGAGCGTGTGAACCCGTAGAGAGCCGCAGGCTAAGGTCAATACTGCTGTTGCGGGAGACCCTTCATGGTCAAAACTCCGGTTTCTTTAGCCTATGGTTATGGCTCCAGTTCCAGGAATCACTATAAACTACAATGGATTTTGAGGGTTCTTAGCAGGTGGATGACCACCCCTACCGTAAAGGGCACTTTTGGCCCACATGAGTAGGCACTACATGGACCATGCGAGCGCAGAACACAGCAAACAACTAGGCACTCTGTCAGCGATTGCCCAGTGGTTTTTGCATGTGTTGGTGGTTCAAGGCTTCCCTCGTGGGGTAATTTGAAGGCTTCAACCTGTGCAGCATGTGTCTCTTCCCTGACAACAAGCCAGCTCAAAGATTCCTGGGGCAGGTTGTTCAAGCATTCCATGCAACATGGATTGTCACCCGAGCAGCAAACGAAAAGGCGAGCTTCTCGAGCGACAGGCAGAGATCGGCATGATCTTCGCAGGCCTCGGTCCGGTGGGACGAATCGGCTCTAAAAAACGGTTTGGATGTGCCATTTTTTTGTGGATTTCACCTGTTCTTCTCCCTAGGTCCTTTTTAGTAGTCTTTAGTGCAGGGGTGGATCCACAAACCGTTTTCTAGACCCATGGTTCATGTGCATCGTCCCATTTATGCTCAAGGTAACCTCTCACAGGCGCTATGCTGGTGGGAGGATCGATCCATTTGTTCAGCTTCAAAGCAAATCAGGGTTTCCTTTCCTGACCGAACCCTAGGATGTCTTCCCTTTCAACCCAAAACCGTCAAAACCAAAGTGGGCTATGTGTTTTTGAGGGTCCCTTTTCTGTGGTCCAGGGCGGAACCGAAAGGAAAACCCACCCATTTTGGGGCCCCCAAAATATGGCTGGCTCAATAAAATGTACCCAAATGGCACCTGGGTAAATGGAAACAAAGATCAAAACCTGCGTAACCCTAGTTCTGTAATTTTGAGCCATACCCATATACCCAACAATGGGCAGTCGAATGACTCCCAGATGGCCCAGATGGCCCAGGGCGCAACTGGGCAACCGAAAATCGCAGAAAGGAAGCCACGCGTGGGTGGGTACCCCGCATATTGGCATTCCCCCCCCTCCAAATATGCTGCTGTTTTTGTACACGAGTTTTTGTGGGTGTGATACTTTGCAGGGGTGTAGATTGCTTGGTTGCTGGGAAGGCGTATCCGTTTCCGGTTTTTCAGAAGCAAGCACCTAAGCTCTGACCCCACAATAGATCGGCACACCTGAAGAAGCTGGCCAGGGATCGGCCGAAACGTTTGGTGTAATTTCGGATGCGAAAGTCCTGGTCTTGTGTGCAACATCTCGGCTCCCACTTGGATGTTGGACCAACTTAGTAAGTAGGTTGTAACTACAACCATGTTTGCAACCCAGTACTTCAGAATGTGATTGGGGTTGGTGCGCTACCCTGGATCAAGCCTGTCTAGCTTGATCTGCATTGGCTTGAGCTTGCTTGCAGGTTGCTTGGCTTGGGTTTTTGAAAGCGAGAGACTGCAACAAAAATGTGAATTCCCTTGCAGGGGGATCCACTGGGTTGGCCCGGCAATGTTGGTTTCGTGTCCCATGTCAGAACAGTTTTAGTTTTATGACCTGCTTCTTGGTTTTGAGTGGGTACCCTTCAGGTTGTTTTCAGGGGAGACCAAAAGGAAGCCGCACTTTTCGGGGGAAGCCCAAAGGCAGCCAGCTGATTTTTTGGAGGCAAAGCCAAAAAACCAAAGACTTGCCCTAAATTGGACAAGACAACACGTAAACGACGAACCCCCCGGAGAGCATCATTCAAGACAATCCCCAATAAGCAGCATTTCAAGACAATGCCCCCCCCCAAAAATACATAAATACACAAATAAATAAATCAAAAACAAAAAGCCACCAAGATCCTGCCAGTCCAGTCACTTGCGGAACCGCGCGCCATGGCTCGGGCGCGCTTCCGCGGCTTCCCGCGGAACTTCTCGCGGCGGCGGGCGCCTCTGGCTGCGGCGGTGCCGCTGTGGGTGAATGACCCGGGCCATGAGGACGGGCCGCGATCCATGGGAGGCGGCCGCAGGAGGTGGCCACTTACTCCCCGCCGAGTGGACTTTAGTCACTTTTTTGGGGTCTTGGGAATTGCCATGCGAGTGGCGAGCGCAAAATGTTTGATTTTGTTTGGCCTTCCGTCCAGGAAGTGAGCTTTATGGCTGTTAACGGATCTTTGGAAACAGGAAGCGGATTTTCCGAATTGGACCCACAAACAGTTTTGCACTTCTTGCAGAGGGGTCAACAGCAACCAAGCTCAGGCGGCTTGGTAAACGATAAGGTAATTGGCGCTGTACCATTGGCAAATGGAGCTGCTTGTTCCGATTTCCAGACTTCAAGCCGGTTGCTGCCGGGGGTGGCACCAGCTCAGGGGTACCTTAAAGCCACATTTATTCATGCTTCTAGGGATAAGCTATTCGTAAAATTGTGTTGCCGCTTATAGGGCTCTGAGTTTAGACAAGGAACCACCTCACACTCGCTTGGACATGAACCCTCAGCGAATTCTGATGTCCGCCATTGCGGGTCCTTAATAAAAACTAAACCCATATATGTGTGTGTGTGTTTTGTAAGAGACCCCCCAAGATTGTTGGCTTTTGCTGTTTTCCTATTAAAGCGACCCACAAATGGGGTGCCCTCAAAAGATATATATATATATGTATACAGGGCTCCTTAAAAGATACATTTCGCCCATTTGAAACATAGCTTTTTCCACCAACATAAAGGGAAACCACCATTGACAAGGCAATGTTAATTAGTGTAAGGATCCCTTATATATATATAGATAGTGGACAAAGACATATGTAATACATAGTTGGGCGTCGTGCTAAAACTCATGTATTCGATTCAGTATTCCGAATTTCCAGGCTTACATGGCATGAGCTTCCCACTGTGTGCACGGAAGAGACGCAGAAGGGCGGCGGAGGAGATGCGGAAGGGCAAGTAGCCGAAAACAATGATCGAAAATCAGTGATAACTAGTGTGTAGATTTACAATGGGGGCGGAAGGTTTGCGGAAGGGCGGCGGAAGGGCAGTTTTCAGAAGAAGTCCTTTTGCTCAACCCCCAGTTATATGTGTAATATATGTATAATATATGTATATTTATATATATATATGTATTTCAATACACACGAAAAGACACAACAAATAGATCATGGAAAAAGGGTTGACAACCAAAAACATGGGTGAATTATAGCAAGGTCACCCACCTAGGACATATAGTAATTCACCCAGAAACGATGCATCTCTCCTACCCTCCCCCCTTTTTCATGGACCCCTTTATCATTCCCAAAAGGCACCAAAACCCAGGAGGTCTTGTTGGAAAAATGATCGACCCCATTGTAGTGAAGGATTGCTTTTGAGGGGGTCGCCAATTTTCTCACCAAAAGTGGCAAAAGACCCCGATGCCAAAACCAGGGTACAAAAACAAATATCTCCTACCCCCCTCCCTTCAGAAGGCACCAAACCCGGGGTCCATGCCCAAGGACCCGCAGGACCGTAAACCAACCAACCATGGGGGTTTTTCAGACGGCGCCAAACCCAGGGTCCACGGGGGGGTCCTACGCCACCCTTCGGGGCAACTTCGCCAGGCGCTGACCTGGGAGATCTGGATGCCGGGCCGGGAGCTCTTGCGGCGACCCGTGGCTGGAGGCCAGCTGCAGGCGCGCGGCGCGCGCGGCAGCCTGCCGGCGCTTCGGGGGCACGGGACTGCGGGTGGAGAACGAGCCGATCCCCGGGGGTTCCCAAGGCCCTGAAAAGAAATTGGCCATGGTTGACCCAATTTGGAGGATGAAAATCCGTTAAATATATGAACCTCTCATTTTTTGATGCTGGTTTGATCTTGGGGCATAGGTCTCCTTTTTGGTTGGTTTGCTTTAAGGCTGGTGGCACTGGTCTTAGTTTGGTAGCTACTGCTTAACGTCAACAAGTCGCCCCACAGAACGCGTCGCCACTCGCATTGCCAGGTCACTGCGCACCACGCCTCCTCGAAGCAGGGGCCTCAGGCTGGGCAAGCGACAGACGCTGATTCCCCACTGCCTCCCCGCAAAATGGCGTGGCGGAATTTCGACCCCGCAAAACCTCCACGAGTGGTTTCATTTTTCCTTTGATGAGTAAATAAATGGAATTGAGGGATCCCCCGCCCTCCCCTTATGGTACGGGGGATTTCGCAAAAGGGACGGAGGGAGGCAGGGGACGATGATTGAGCAGTTGGAGAATGGTCAGATGCGGCAGAAGGTTGCGCTTCGCAAGAAGCTCTCAGTGCAGGCGGATCCATTTGGCCTTCCACTATCATGGCACCGGCGGCACCTGGAAGACAAGTTTCCTTTAAAATTAGCTTTGTGGACGGCATATGGTGTGCTTGGTCCATCATTGAAGGAACCCTGTTTTAGGCTGGTTTTGAACATGCTGAACCAAAGGCAGCCACCATATTGAGGCGGTCCAAATCTCTTTGGTACCCGGCACTACAAATAATTACCTGCCCTTTCTTTGGGTATACTTTGGACATTGTCTTGCAGGGGAAAAGCATCCTTCATCAAACCCTCAAAAAGCGGGTAGGGGAAAAATAGTGGGACCCATGTGGGACCCCTGTCAGGAATGGCGCGTGCTGCGCTTCATTCCGGAGAAGACCAGCTCCAATCTGATCCAGGCGAGGGAAGACGGGAGTTGAGACAGAGAGAGGGGGAGAGAGAGAGAGAGAAAGGAAACAACAGCAGAAAGAAAAGATCGACTTGGGTAATGTTGACCCCTGATGGAGTGGGTCTGTCTGTCTTTATTTGAAAGTACACCCGTTTTGGTTGGTTTTGAGAGGAGCAAATTTGAAAGGGACACCGCCATTTTTGGAGGGGGGTTGAAGCCCTTCCCCTTTGCAAAGGGCGCTCTGATACATCACTGACCGATGCATACATGTGCGTAGGCATGTGTCTGCATGTGGGAGTCGTCCGAAAGGTCCTTATATGGAACTTGTTTGTCTTAGTGTTGCCCTTCCCGATCGCTTTGTGAAGGGTGGCTTGGTAAAAGGAAAATGTTAGGGGTGTGCTCTGCCACGTTTTCTTTACCAAATATGTTACTCTTATTTCCTTTTAATTGTCCCCTTATGTTCTTTACTTTCTACGCATATGTTCTGCAAATGTTACTCTTATGTTCTCTAAATGTTACTCTTATGTTCTCCAAATGTTACTCTTAAGTTCTCAAAGGTTTACCTCCTATATCCTCCAAAGTTTGCTCTTATTTTCTCCAAATGTTGCTCCTATTTTCTTCCAATGATTACACTTATTTTCTCCAAATTTTACTCTTATCTTCTTCTAACGATTACATGTTGCTCAAATGGTGCCCTTTTTTTCTCAATCTTTATATTTTTCTCGAATTGTTACTCTTGTTTTCTCTTGATTAAATTTACAATTTGTCCTCTGAAATGTACTGTTCGTTTCTCTGAATTTAGACTCAAGCTCGTCTATGTTGATTCTTGTGACTCTTATGGGTTGTCTAATTTAGCCTTTTTCTCCAAAGTTAGCTCTTCTTCCCGAACTTCAACTCGTGTTGTCCGATGCCAGCGCTTCATTCTCGAACGTAACCTCTTGCTTGCTTCAGAGTCAATTTCTGCCCAAGTTTAACTCGAGCGTATCATGCAACGTTGAAAGTGAGTCAGAGAGACATCATACAGTCAGCATCACAGTACAGCGAGACACAAGTTTGTGGGCGCTGTTTCCAAGCCGTTCCGGGTCCGGGCTCCCAAGGTCTTCAACGGCGGGCTCCCTGAACCCTTTGGGCCCTCAACAAATTTGTCCTTATCCGGCCTTGGATAAGGACAACATTTTCCCAAATAAGGACAACATGTTTGAGGGAAAATATGGACAACATCTTGCCGTGCCATTGGGGAGTGTTGTTTTTTGTCCTTATTTTCCCCGAACAAATTTTGTCCTTATCCGGGGCCGGATAAGGACAAACAAATTGCCGGATAAGGGCCAAATGTTTGGCGGATAAGCACCAAATGTTTGAGGCAAAAAACACAATCTGTTGCTCTTGCAACCCTGAACCATGGAATAGCCCTTCTGCAGGGCCGAACGCATCAAGCAGCCAGTTTCACTCCCTGCCGCAATTGAGCAATGGCACGTATCCAGGTGCGCATCAAGTAGCACTTGAGTCTGAACTTCAGAGACCACAGGACTTACATTTGGTGAGAAAGTAAGAACTAAATTTTGACAAAATGAGACTGAACATCATAAAAAACCGAGCTAACATAGACAACAATTCGGGTTAAACAAGAGAAGCTAGAACGTATTGGCAAAATTGAGCCGTTAATATGGGTAACATTTACAGACATTAAAGAATGCAAAGTTGAACAAGTAAGAGTAAACATTGGCAAAAATAAGAGCAACATCTTGAGACAATTGTGGACATTTAGGGAAAATTTGCGCAACATGTAAGCTTTAGAAGAAATATGAGTAAATGTTTGATAAAAAAGAGTAAACATTGGAAGAACATAAGAGCAACATTTAGAGAAAATAAGAGCAGCATAGGGCAACATTTAGAGAACATATCAGCAACAATTAGAGAAAATAGAACAACAGGTAGAGAAAATAGTACCAAACTTTGGAGAACATAAGAGTAAACAATTAGAGAATAAGAGTAACATTGGAGAACATAAGGGTAACATTTACAACAGCATATGGGCAAAATGAAGGTGTAAAGAGACCCCCTCGAAACGTGATAAAGCAAATCCATAAGGACTATGTAATAATAACCATGTGCATTGGCCGGCAGTGCGCGCAGAATTCATAAAGTTAGCTGGAGGAAAGCGCGGCTTTAGGATTGCCACCAAAAAAGCGGCAGAAAGCATCTCGTCGGGGTTTTGACGCGGCTGAGCGCAACTTCTTAGACGGATTTTCGGTACCGGTCGGCGAAAAAAATCCGCGAAAGTGCCGCCACACTGGACGGACCTTCCCGCCATGGGTGGCCATCCCCTCCTGTGCTGCTGCATGGCTTTCGAGCTGGAGCTGCGGAAGCGCGCTTCTCGCGCGCGGCTTTCGTCCCGGAAGTTGGGACCTTCAATGCACAAAGATTGCGTTTCCGGGAACAAGGAATTTCAGACAACCGTCATGTGTAGGCATAGCTGTTTTATCGAACTCGCGCCATGGCAATGTAAGCACCTCCATTTTCAGCCATTTGGATTGACATCATTCGGAAGACCCCTCAAACGTACCCCTCAACCTCCACCCACGCCCCCGCAACATCCCGTTTCAACCAGGAATTGACATCATTCGCACGCAATACCAAAAAACGCCTCTGGAGATCTGAGGCCATTAACAAAGTGCGCCTGGCGGACGCAACACATGGCCAGCCGGACTCGCACATGAGGAATTGCTTGCTGATGCCCTACACCAAGTCCATGGTCAGCGCCTGGCGCGCAAGTTGGAATGGCCCATGTCAATTCCATGGCTTCAGGAAGGGACTGCTTCCTTCTTTGGGGGTTCCTTTTTCTGGTGTGGTTCTAAGTGACACCAAACGGAAGATCACGATGTTTCTTTTTTGGGAGGGGGGGAGTGAAAAACGACACACTCACCTTACTCCTGGGTCCTCAGTTTCCCTTTCAATGTAAACACCGGTAAATTGATATGTTTTTGTTTTTTTTATATGATAGCACGGATTCATCAGTTTTTTTTTGGGAGGGGGGAGGTAAAGAACAACACACTCACCTTACTCCTGGGTCCTCAGTTTCCCTTTCAATGGAAACACCGGTAAATTGATATGTGTTTTTTAAGAAGAATACGATAGCACGGATTCATCAGTTTTTTTTTGGGAGAGGGGAGATAACGAACGACACACTCACCTTACTCCTGGGTCTTCAGTTTCCCTTTCAATGGAAGTCTTTAGGAGGTGTTGTCCCCCCAAGCCCAAAGGCACCCCAGCTTGTGGTTGCTTGTTTCTTTCTTTTTTCAAAGGTGCCATGTGTTGCCCCTCTAAAAGTGCTTTCATTCTTCACTAACCCCAAGATTTGTCAAAAAGGTGTTGCCCAAGACAGAACTTATGAAGGACGGGGATGGTTGACCCGCTCCCATAAATCAGGGTCTTTGGCTGGCCAAGCACCTCGGTTTTTGAAGAGCCAGATACATCTTTCTCCCTACTTAATTACCCGTTTCTTTCCCTTTACTTAAAAAGGCGGCGTTTTACCTTGCAAGACCAGGTTTTCCAAAACATGCCCTGGATAAAGGTTTGGAGCAGCATTTGGTGGTTTGGATTGGGTCACTGGTGGTTGAATCCGGTTCTTCTTCCGAATGGAGCGCATTGGAAGCCACCTGGAATCGAGGACCTGGCACTTCTGGGGTGACTTTGGTAAAAACCTGGGGACAGTTTTTCTCGGTTTCGTTGCTGAGTTGGCGAAAACTGTTGACAGGCAGGTCTCTGTGTTGGCCAAGAGCCGGGCAGTTTGCACCTTTCTGCCCAGTCAAATCAGCAGGTCAATTCTCAGTGTGTTGCGTCCCTTTGAGCTATCAGTTTGTTAGTAGTGCTGTGTTTTTTCTTTCTCAGTTGTTTGTCCTTTCGTGTTTTCGCTCCCAGTTGCTTGGTATTGTCCTTCAGGCTGTTCTTTCCCCACCTGCTTTTGTCTTCTTCCGTTATTTGCGTATCTTCATTTGTGGGCTGCAACGTTCGCAACTTCAGCACGCAGAATTGCCGTTTTTCGGCGCCTGACAGGAGAGTCCCTTCAAGCCAGAGCACCTGGCCACATTTCGTCCTTTAGCTTCCGAACGAAACCGAACCTCGATTTAAACTTAAGGGGAGAAGAGTTCCCCCATATCCCCTCGCTACACATCGCTTGTCTCATCGCTTGTCCATTTCCTCTTCAGTATATATTTGTGGAGCAGAACAGCGGCACACCCACACCCGCGCGGGCGAACTATGACATGAAACTCAGAGTTTGCCGTTTGGACCGGTCCAGCCGTTCAAGAATCATGGACCTCAATTGTCCTGTCCGAAACGAGTTCTCCAACCATCTTTGTTCTCCAAAAAGCTCGGCTCTGGTTGCAGTTGTTTTGGGCCGGGCTCTGTGCCCGCATGATCCCGCCTTTAGCCAACGTTCAAGGTAACCGCCAGCATCGCTTCGGTTTGCCCCTTTGGTTCGCCTTTACCTACCGAAAGGAAAGGGTACCTGGAGTCTCCTTCTGACCCTTAAACGATGTGGCCATTACCCAAAATACGTGGGGGTCATGACCCCCATGTTGAAAGGGTCCAAAAGACACACGGTCCATGGCTCGAGATATTGGAACTCTGTGCAGTCTTCATTTCCCAAGGCCAATCAGCTAAACTCTGGGTACATAGGCGTCCTTTTTGGTTGTGTTGCTAGAAAAATAGATGGCGATTTCTGGTTTACCTGGTGGTTTAGTCATCTACCAGGGCCATCTATTCCCCTAAAAGGACACCTAAAAGGCGTGTTTTAGGTCAGGTGTTTTCCTTCACCGTGTTTGGCATGTTTGAGGTGTTTATGTTGTTTGGTGCTGCGCATGTTTGGTGGGGGCCCGCAAGCTGCAAACAACGAATCGCTTTCTGGTTCTGCTCAAGTTTGGTAGGGGCCTGCACACTGCAAAAAAACAATGCGATTTGCTACTTTACCAAGGGTTGGACAGTCCCTTGACACGAAGGTGCCGTGCTCGCCGCTTTGGCCATGGGTCCCGACAAAGACCAGCCCCGCCCTTCGGCTGAAGGGAGTCGCTCGTCCCCCGAGCCGCTTGCCTCGCTCGACCGCTTCAAACCGCTTTGCGCGGGGTTGACGTCCCATTTGGGTTGTGAGTTGAGGTACCCCTTTTTAATAAATGACTTCGGTCGATTTCCCATAAGTTGGATGACAACCTCCCTTTCGGACTTTGTGGTAGGAATTGATGCCTTTCCATTGCTTTCAACACATCCTTCTAAAGGTCCTGCACTGGCGGACGCCTTATTTTCCGGTTTTGGCGTGATGCAAAGCCACTCTTAGACACATTCGGGCCACAGATCAATCCCAGCTGATTTCCAGGATCCAGTTCCTTCTGCAGATTAGGCGCGTGGTGTTTTTTTCCATCTTTTTTCTCTTCCCCCAGGGCACCTGTTCAAAATCAGAGGGATTTTATGTCCTTGTTATTTCAACTTTGTGTTGTGGTTATTCGAAACCAAGAGGAACCCCATGTTGGGGCTTCCCCTGTGAGACCCCATTTCCTCTGGGCTGCTGTCCGAGGAATTCTTTGTGTGGGCTTGGGCGGCGGATCTATGCCCGCCTTCTTGGCAGAGATGCTGCCCAACTGCCACGTGGATGTGGCCACTCAGCCCAGAACTGGCACAAAAAGGGGGCTATCTCCCGTGCGAGTTGAGCCCGGTGGAAAAAACACGTCATGTTTCCAAGATGTATGAACCGAGCCATGTTTCTAGGGGTTGATTCTTTGTCCATTCTTTTCAGCAATCATCGGATCCATTTCGTGGTTTTCCAGAAAGAACCCTAGAAAGATGTACTGTGGATGAACGAATTCTACTTCGACCACCATTCAGAAACCCTGAAATGTTGATTATCCTGTAAATACCAACCAACAATGGTGTCTCATGGTTTCTTGGGTAGTGTTGGAGTACCAAGCTCCAGTTGGTTTCTCAAACTGGACGTTTTGTTGGTGGCACGACCGGGGGAACCAAAGCTTGGACCAGTCGCCGCAAAATCATCGGACCACAAAACTATGTGAAAATCCAAGCATCATACAGTTGCCATATGCAGGTCCATCTTCTGTCGTGAATGCACACCACCCAGGTGGATTTCCAAGTTGGAGTCTACTTGTCGTCAGGTGTCTCCTCAAAGAGCCCCAGGCTTGCTTGCCACTTAGTCGGGGGGGGGGACTTAGCATGGATTTGGTGGCTTGTAACCAGGGTTGCAAAACCACATGTTCGTGCACCCTACCAACCTACGAGCAGAACATCCCAACTACTCCACATACCGAGCTGGGGTTTGGTTACCATATGCCATCCCCTGACCAAAAAGGTTGCAATTGCAAGCCACATGTTTTAACAAACATTTGTTGTATCCTTCAACAGTAGGTATTGTGAATAGGGGGTAAGGACTTTAGTGGCAACTACTTTAAGGGCAAATGTGGATATTCAGATTTCATTTTAAGAATTTGGGAATGTTTCATATGGCCATCAATTGGGTATACGTTCAGGCTTATTTGCGCATTCTATTTGGGCGTTCTAGGGTGACCAGGCAAGCAGCCTGGGCTGGTTAAACATGCCTCTTTTCGTCTGAACACCGGCCAACAGTTCTCTCAAAAACACCTGCCAGGGTACGTGTCAGGATATGGGGACCCCAAAACTGCTGTTGTTCCCTTTGGTGTCCTTTTGAAGCAACAGGGGCCACCCGGACCCCTCCCTAGAGTGTCAGCGTTTGGGTTTCCTTTTAAACCAAAATGGAGACCCTCAACAGAACAGATATCATACCCATTTGCACCTAAACATGCCCATCGTTTTTTCAGGGTGGCTCGTCTTTTTTTGCGGCTCGGTACCCTTTTGGTCGGTTTTACAGGAACACTAAAAGGACCACCATTTTGACTCACTCCGTGAGATCCTGGACTTTAAACTTGTTGGGATTTCCCACTTAAGTGGCAATCAAAACGTTTGGTTTTCAAAACAAATGGAAGGACTACCACCAGTTTGACTCACTCTATTCCTGGACTATAAGCTTCTTCAAAACCTCCATTTGCTTAAGAATATTTGTCATTTTCCTTTGTTGGGTTTAAAAGGAATTCATCACTGGACATATGTTCTCATTTTTTCCTTAGAAACCTTAAGAAACCGTTTTTGCTTTTGAACTCAAACTCGGCCAGTCCACCCGACGGGCAGTGGGTCCGATTCGATGCTCCAAGCGAGGTGGAGCTGGAGCCTGCGGTGCTGGAGGCTGCGGTGGCCATGGGCTTTGAGCCCAGCGACCGGGTGGAAGTCTTCCTGGAGGAGGGCGCCGGCTTCGCGCGGCGGAGGGCGGAAAGAAGCGAGGGACGCTTGGGCCATGGGCGCGGTTGGGCGCGAGCTGGCTCACTTTTTGAGCTGCTGCGACGTCAAGTTTTGTGGGTTTGGTTGGCATTTTCTCAGTTGCCCAAAGGGAATGGACCTGAAGTGACCTTTTGGTTTTCTCATTTAGGGCTCCCATTTTTTGTCATGGCCGCAAAAGTTGAAACTTGTATATCCAGACCCTTTGGGCGAGTTTTGGTGGCAATCAAACAGTTTTCGGACTTTTTTGGCCAATCCACTCGATCGGAAGTGAGTGATGATCAAAACGGATCGGTGCCAAAGTAACCTAAAACCCATGGTACAGAGTTGCGGCGGTGAAGGCACCCATCTCTGGTTGGGACCGTTCCTTCCTAACCTTCCATGGTTGCTGTTGGGAAACATTTTACATTTTTGCTTGTTGTGGTTTAGTGGTGGAAATCCTACCACTTAACTGCTAAGTTTAATTGTTTGCTCCCCTTCCAACGTCAACCAAGTCCGACTGCCCCGGTTTTGATTGTGGCTCAGGTGTCCTTGTGATCGATGTTGGTCTGGTTGAACATCGATGGGTTTCTTTGGTTTCAGTTTGGTTCCAATGATCTTCCAGTGCCATCAATTTCTCACTCCCTGAGTTTATGGACTTTTGTCACTTTTTGGGTTGGGACCATTTTGGTGGCACACAAAGAGTTTGGGCTTGGGTTGGCCAGTCCACTCAGGAAGTGCGTAGGTGTCCTTTTGAACAGTGTGTTTGAACATAGATGAGTTTCCCTGGTTTCAGTTTGGTTGCAATCATCTACCGGTGCCATCTGTGTTTTTCAAAAGGACACTTACTGTTGGGGGTTGCGTTTAAAGGGCATCCACAGGGAAGTTGCCCACAGTCGCCCATTCTGACACCAAACTTTTTAAGAGTCTTAGAAGATATCTTCACATCTACAATGCTGCGGGTGGACAGAGTTCTGCACCAGTTGGAAGTAATGCAACCCTATGAATACTGGGAACAACCACCTACCAGTTGGTATTTTGTCCATCCTCGAAATCACCTACCCTGTGTCTCCGTTTTGCGGCCGATCTGCCAATCGAACCGACCAAGCGGGGGTTTCCATGGACCCCAATACGCCAAGCCCTTGGGAAACCAGTTGCATTCTGCATTCAGTCCGAGAGAGAAACCAGTGAGGGCCGTTGGCTTGAGTTGCTTGGAGGTGTAAACCGGCAGTGTTTCAGAACTAATTTGGGCTCCCCCCTCCCCTCCCCTCCCTCCCCTCCCTCCCCTCTCCAGGCCCCATGATGGTTGTAATGTAAATCGTTGGTACTTGTACGGCGGACAAACCGTTGGCGACTCGACAATGGGGGGCTCATTGCAAACCGCCATCCCCAGTTTCCGGAAGGGTCGGTCTGGACTGGAGACAAAGGTTGTGCCAGGTAATGCCAGTTTGGCCAGCCCGCAATTCTTTTACGGACTGTTTGGGATAACTCACTCCCTGAGTTCCTGGACTTTACTTTGCTAGCAATCAAAAGTTTAGACTTCACTCGATCGGAAGTTTTTGATGCAAAAGTGGCGCATGTTTCCTGAAGTTCGGCGAGCTAACAGTTGAAGCCGCCAAGCTTTCCAATGTGTTTACTTGGTTCCAGCCTGACAAATCAAACAAAAACTACCCTGTCCACTGATATGGAACGCACCAGGGGCTCTGTGAGGTTCCATGTTTATCCTCCTTTTCTCGGGCATTTGGAAGCTTCAGCCTTTGGGGGTCAAGAGGCAGTCCGAATCATGATTGTTTGTGCGGACATGTTCTTGCTCCCAGAGTTCCTCGACCTGATCATTTTGTGCAGCCCTAGTTTTTTTTTTGGGGGGGTAGGAAGTCGCGCACTTCAAAAGCTGAGGCTATGACGCGGTGCTCATTGACGCCTACGATGTGGAGGGCAACGTGCCGGATGCGTTTCGAACTGGCGACCCTGGCATCGTCGAGGCAGGACCCCGGCCTTACGCTCATATACTCGCTCCCTCCAAGTCCAAGTCTGAGCCTGTTAGGGCGCCCCAAAAAAGCAAGACTGCTGTTTAACGGGGTCCAAACAACACCCCAGAGTTTTTTTCGGTTTGGAGGAGACACCCCCAGTCTGGACATTGATTTTTTTTCGGTTTGGAGGAGACGGCCAAGCAAGAATGTCTGAGGTTCAGTCAGCATCTCAGTCGATGCTCCAAGGTTTCATCAGAGGGCCGAACGCCCCAGGTTGCTGGCGCGAGAGATGAAGGGAATGACAATCCTCCATTTTCTGAAATGATTTTCCTTGCTGAGTTTAAAAGGAATTCATCACTAATTACTGGGAATATGCTTATATATTTTTCTGGGGCCTGAACCAAATGGAAGGAAATGGAGAGTGACCCCGAACCCTAAACCATCCAACTGGTGGTGTCCATCAACAAAATATCATTCCCCAGTGCGCTTAGTGAGCGCCAGCAAGCCAAGCTGCAGATCTTTGGAGTGACTCTTTTCCGGCGGTCCAACATGAGATGAGCCAAAAGATATCTGATTGCATGGGATTCAATCAGCATTTTCAGTCAGGACTCGGTGAATAAAAAAACACTTCCCATCCCCATAGGAATGGGAGGTTGCCCAAATTTAGGAGAGAGTTTGTTTAACCAAAAGTTACAAATTTTAATCTACAACTTATAGTTTTATAACTATTGCACGTCATCCACCCCCTGTTCATCCCTGTTCCGTGCTTGTTTTCTTGACTATGGCTTGACATTTCTCGGCCATCCTATTAATTCAAATACAAAAACAAAAGAAACAAACCCACCGTCCACCGGAAGTCCATCTCAGACGAGAACTCGAGGCGCTGAGTGCTGGGCTCTTGAAGCTTCACGGGGTGCTGGCCATCAACTTCCTCCCCGGCACCGCGCTCCGCCCGCTGCTCGCCGCCCACCGGGAGGCGACACAGTCGGTCGCCGGGATTGCTGATTCACTCGGCGCGGCGAGAAAAAAACCATTTGCTCGAAGTTTTTTTTAAATAGAAATTCCCTTGTTGCTTTCAAAAGGAATTCATCACTACTGGAAATAGTTGTTTTCTGGGGCCTGATCCAAATGGAAGAAAAGGAGGCGACGTGGACGGTTTCCACTTCCGTGGTTTGTGGCTACCCTGCTAAAAAAGATAAGGTCAACTCCTGTGTTCTTTCGAATCATAAATTTTGCTAGTGCTTCGCGTCTTCCCAATAATTAGCCAATTCCGAAAGGGCCCCCTTGCCTTGCAGCACGTTTGCGGAGAAGTTCATTTTTGTAGAGGGGCACATCAGACAGAGGGATCCCATCGCCCTTGCCATGAAAGGTGAGCCCGGCTTGCTCGCCAGGCCAGGCTAGCTCACTCCCTAGGTTTGAGAGACGGCCTCTTGTGGCGTAGCCATCGAATTTTTCGGCTGAACGAGGGAGCCATCGTTTTCGGCTGAACGAGGGGGTTCCCTTTGGGCCATAAATCCCTGGGTTTAAGTCAAGTGTGGGTTGGCTCAAAAAATTGCGTTTTATGCCTCAACACGAATTAAACCAACAATCACAACCGCAGGTGCGAGTCCTTGTTTCGCATGTACCGCTCTGGCAACCCATTTTGGGGGTTACCCATTTACGTCCACCCCCGGGACATGCGGCGCTCGGGTTCCGCTGGCCCCCGAAGACTCGCAGGCCCTGAGCCGGCACGGAACCTGCGTGTCCTTCGCCATCCAAGCAGAGGGCTCCGGCGCCCCGGTTCACGAGGCGTTTCTTCCCTCTGCCAGACGCCATGAAAAGAACGGCCTTGGAACCCAATTTGGGAAAGTTGGGGGGAGGGGGAGGGGATGAAGACCCTTAAAGAACGGCGGTGATATTAACCCAAGCGTGGCTTTAATGGTGACAACGGAACCTCAGGGGCTTTGAATCCGAATCAGTGGATCCAGCCCAACAACGTTGACCCTATATTAATAAACCCCTGTTGTGGGGAGTGATCACTTTTGGAGGGAAACAGGGTTGGTAAGGGAGAGGTATTTGTTTAAGTTGTTTTGTTTTTTCCCGCTTTTTTGCTTCTGGGCTTGTTGGCTTTTTGGCTTCTGGGCTTCTTGGCTGTTCGGCCTCTTGTTGGTTTATGCGGCTTTTGGTGGTTTTTTGGCTTGGGCTTTTCACATCCTCCGCTTTCTTTTGCACCCTTTCCTTGGCTTCCCAAATCCTCAGCATCACCAGTTCCTCTCTGGCAAGTGTTCTTTAGTTCTTTATATTTATGCTTATGTATGTCTGCATGTATGTATGTAATCTATGTAATCTATGCATGTATGTATGTATGTGTGTGTATGTATGTATGCACTTCTTCGAACATCATAGGGGAAGCCGCCCGCCCCCCCCCCCCCCAACCCCCCCCACTGCTTTATCTATCGCACCCTTTCTTGAATCATTGCACCCCTACTGTAATTGAATCATCACTTTTTCGAACATCATCCAACCCTCTACCTTTTTAGATTTCGCTACTTTTTGCAGAGATTTAGTTGCACCCCTATTTGGATCATCACTTCTTCGAACATCATCCAACCCTCTACCTTTTTAGATTTCGCTACTTTTTGCAGAGATTTAGTTGCACCCCTATTTGGATCATCACTTCTTCGAACATCATGGGGGGCTGCCCCTCCCGCCAACCCCGCTGCTGTTTAGTTTTTTTTTTTTTTTTTTTTTTTTTTTTTTTTTTTTTTTTTTTTTTTTTTTTTTTTTTTTTTTTTTACGGAGATTTAACTGCACCCCTATTTGAATCATCGGCAGGCCCCCCCCCCCAACCCCCCCGCTACTTTATAGTTTTGTTATATATTTTTTAGATTTTCTACAGATATTTAATTGCACCGCTGTTTGAATCATCACTTCTTTGAACATCATGGGGGGCGGCAGCGAACCCCCCGCCGTTACTTGTTTGATTGCTTGCAGGGATTGAATTGCAGCCCTATTTGAATCATCACTTTGTCGAACCCGTCAACCAGCCCGATACTGTTCATACATTTTTACCCACTATTTGCTAGTGATCGGGGGGAATTTGGTGGGACATGCGGGGGATGTTGAAAACGATGCTGGGGATGTTGACGGGCTAAGAAAATGCTGTAAACTACGACATGTTTTACTGGCCAAGACAACAAACAACTACAAACATTAACAAAAGCAATGAAAAAGCGAAAAGCATTCCCGAAGTGAATCCGCACCCGTTGGCTGATATGGTGTCAACACTTGAATATTGCAAGATTAATAACAAAGATCCCACAAGGGGAAGAAAAGGTGAAACCCACAAAAAGAAGCACATCCAAATCGTTTGCTAGAACTTTGAGGCGGAGGTTGAACCTTTAACTTGGAATGTAAGTGGTCCCGACCCCACATTGGAACCAGTCCATTTGAAACGAACTCCCTTTTCTCAGAAATGTCCCTTCAGGTCTAGGTCACCAGTAATTCCCCCGCTTCAAAGCCACACGCCCAGTCGTCCGTTTTTTGTTTTTGTTTTTTTTTCTTAAGTCGCGGCTTCTCTTCGAGCGAAGGCCGGGTTGTGGGATCACTCGAGGTTTATCCAACCGCTTCTGTGATGCAAGGGAGCTTTCCCTTTATATTTGGGAGGGGGGTTAGCCTTTGGGAAGCCCTTTTGATTGTTTCGCAGACGTGGATTCCATTATTTTGGTGCATCTTGCTTGGATGTTAGGACTTTAACTTTTTGCCAACTAATGGGTTTTCCGTATTAAAACCGCTAAAAGTTAAACTTTTAGCAGGGAAGCAGAAAGCAACCAAGATTTCCCACAGCCCTGAGCGAAGGCAACCTCATCGCTTTGCAGATTTTGGGGCTGCCGATGCGCAGCTCCTCCAAAGCCGAGCTGCAGCTGCGCCTCTGGCTGGCGGCGCAAACTGCCCAAGCCGCAGGCGGTTCATTCGATGAAATCCGCGTGAGGGGCCGCCTTTAATCTTCCCCAGAATTAGCTCCCTTTTTTTTTGACTTTTTGGGTCCTTTTGTTTTCCACGCACCAGGCAACATTATTTCTGTTTTTTGCTGGGGTCCTAATTCCAGCCTAGTAATCTATCACCGCTGGCAATTTGTATCTGTTTTCCAGGGGTCTGGCGCACATGGTGGTTTCGAAAGGGAAGAAGAGTGATCTGGTTTCCTTGACTTCACCTTTTCGTTTGCTCTTGGCACTGAGGTGAGGACTTGCCACCCAGCGCGCAATATTCGGGAAGCAAACGTAGCTCAGGAATCCACTGACTGCAGTCCTTTAGCGGTTTGAACCCCTTCCTTTGAAGCCAAATTCGGAAGGCACCCACCCACCAGTCCCCCCCCCACCAGTCCCCCCCCCCAAGGCCCAAACTGAGCAAAGCTCTATACGAGTGTGTGTTTTGTAAGGGAACGCCTTCTTGCGTGGCCGGCCGGACCTGGGTAGGCTTAAGGTATCATGTATTAAAGGGGGTTGCAGGCATCCCATCGAGACAGGGTATCCCTTTGTAAGGCTTGCAAGGTGTTTGTTTGCTGCCTGGTTGCCTGGTTGGTTGGGGTGGGTGGTTGGTTGGGTGGGTGGGTGGGTGCTTTTCTCTGTCATGCACTGTTGTTTTCTTGGAGGTAGACTTGTCACCCTTCTGGGTTTTACACAACAATGTGTGGGGTGCGAGTAAAATACGTTCGTCGTCATTTTTGTGGGCCTCACCTGTCCAAAGCCGACCTTTCGACCGTTAGTTTTGTTTTCCAGAGTTAAAACCACCGCCCAAGTCTTCTGACATGAAAAAACCCTCGGGAAGATGGGTACACCTAGCGACTTGCCCTGAGGTTCTGAAAGGATTGGCATTTATAAACCTCTTGGCTTGCCTTGACTCAAAGTCGATTCCAACAAAGTCGGCTCACAATATGGTTGGGTTCGGGATGTCCCCTTCAGTTAATCCAAGCCAACTCACCCAAGACTTGGGCATGACACGGGCCCAAAAGGGTACAAGGTGGATTGATTCGAAGGGGAATCATTCATTCTTGTGCAAACAGATGCTTAGACATACGTTGTTACCCCAATATCCCCCCTTTTTTCTAATTTCCTTGTACAGATCCGCCTGGTTTCCTTCCACCATGGCTTGGAAAAGGCCCGGGGTTTTGTTTTGAAAAGGGGAGGAAGGGTTGGGGTTGGGATCCTGTGATCGGATCCCAAGTCGCATGCGGCTTGTCCAAGTATTTTTGTAGTTGTCATCCATCCCCTCTAGTGCAACCTGGATATGCCCATCCAGATGATTGTCAACGAGCTGCAGCCACGTGTTTTTGGTGGGGTGACTAAAGTGAAACCCCATTTGCGGGGGAGCCCTTAGAGGGAAAATGAAAATCGAGCCATTTTCCTGGGGATGTTGGCAGAGACGGCCTGCTAGGCGACTGCCCCTTTAGCCTCTCGCGCCTGGCAACCCGTGGCCTTTGTGAGGTCCGCGTGCAGCGGAAGAAAAATGACAATGACTTGTCTCACTCCCAGAGATCTCTTTCGCACTTCATAGGTGGCTGCAGAAAACTTCCCCAGAATTTGCTCCCCTTTTCGCAATTGTTCGCTTTTTTGGGGTCCCCTTTTGTTTTCCACTAACCAGGCGAAAAATTGTGTTTTTTTGCTGGGGTCCTAATTCCAGCCTAGAAAATACGGAATTGGAGGTTCCAAGTAGGAAGGAGAGGCTTTTTGTTAGTAGGTGTCTGTTTTGTTCCATGCCCTTTTTAGTAGGATAAAGGTTTTTGCAACTAGGTCCCCCAGTAGTGCCCGTTTACCCTTTTTTGGGGGAGGGTTCCCCTACTAACATAGACTACGGGAAAAAGTTGGTAGCCTTATTCGAACCTCCCTACTGGAGGACCTAGTCGGGAAAACCATACTAAATCACGGTAGATTTGCGGGCGCAGAGAGGGTGTTCCCTTGCAATAGTGGTGCGTCTGTTTTTTTCACTCCCTGAATTCCTGGACTTTGGTGACTTTTTGGGACCACCATTTTAGCGGTAAACAACAAGTTCGGACTTCTTCTGGCCAATCCACTCAGGAAATGAGTTTTCGGGCTTTGTATTTCACGGGGCAGGGCACGTAGTTACTCCGTGGTTAGTAGCCTGTCAGTCCCTTAAATAAATAATAGCCAATCTGCTATCCACTGAATTAGCAAGTGCCGTTCCTTGCAAGAAGTGAGCAAAGCTCGAACGCGACTGGGATACGGACGGACTGTTTACATTGCCAAGAGCTTACTGGTGTTTTTGTTTGCTTATGTGTTCGTTCTTGACATGTTCCTATGCAATCAGCTAGCAGTAGACCTTTTTGCAGGGGCCTTACGTCTAGGCTAGTTAAGTAAAAGGGATCTACTCCCTCCAGTGATTCCATTTCCGACATTTTGTAGGTAACCAACGGATTTTGCGAGTTGAAAACCAAAACGAACATGGCGAAGGGTTACCTACTAGAGTGGCACTGCATTGGATCCACTTGGCTGCTTTTGTCTCCTCTTCCAGGGCGCGGGTGAATCGGGATGTTTCCCAGCTGACCTTTTGGCGTGGCCAATTCCAGTTTTGTGACCTCCCCCCCTCTCAAACCCCCCACGCTTGCCGTATTTTAGCAAGGGTTTCCGAAACTGGCCTCGGGTGGGGTGGGTGGGTGGGTAGGTGGGGAGGGTGGGGTGGGTGTGGGGTGGGTGGGTGGGGTGGGTGAGTGGGGTGGGTAGGGTGGTTACAATGTCTACCCGAAACAACCATTGTGGGTGTTTGTTTTTGTTTGTTTTGGGGGGGGGTACTCTTTTGGGGTACAGTTTCAAATGAAACCAAATTAAAAGGAACTAACCATCATGGAGGTTGCCCTATTTGAAGACACACCCATTTGGTGGAATCGATGCTTCTAGTATCACTTTATTCGAGCCAGCTTGGCAAGGCCCGAAGGCTTCATTCAACCATGTCAATTCAATGCTCGGAGCAGGATAAGCAACACGCAGGCGCACACACACACACACATGACTGCAAACATAAGAGCAGTGCATGACGAAGCTAACAAGAAGCTTCGCACATGCCAGGCAAAAGCAAGACTTGAGATGTGCGGCCGGAGATCCATCGCAGTGTGTGGAATGCTTTCCATGAAGCTCGTCGTTGGACGCCACGAACCTACTTTGGGTGCGTATGTCTTTTGAGCAAGTACCCTGTGGCAATTTTGTTTCTTTATTGGTAAGAGAGACTGCCAGGAAACCCGAGGAACCTCTTTTTTCCGTTGTGTTTTTGGTAAGGGAAACCACCAGGAATCCCGAGGAAGCCCATGTTTTTTTCGGGGAGTCCCATCCTTTTAGCTTTCGTTCGCTCGCCTATGGCGCCGAAGCGGCGGCGATGCTCCGGGAGATCACTCTCGTTGGTTTGACGACCGCCTTCGCGACGCCGGAGCCGGAGGCGGAGATCTTGGACTCTGGGGCATAGGCGTCCTTTTTGGTGGTTTTGATTAAGACTAAGAAAAATAGACGGCCTCCAAGTGGCGGTTTCATCCTCTACCAGGGAAACCCATTTAGTTCCCTTAAAAGGACACCTATGTGCGCGCAGGTTAGACCCTGGGGCATAGGGGTCCTTCTTGGTGGTTTTGCTTAAGAAAAATGGACGGCCACCAAGTGGCGGTTTAATCCTCTACCAGGGAAACCCATCTATTTCCCTTAAAAGGACATCTATGTGCGCGCAGGCTAGGCTTTGGGGTTCAAATCGCCCTTAAAACACTGGAAAGTAATATGGCCACGTTTATTGAACCAAGGATGTTCATCGTCCAAAATGGGATGTTGATCATAACCACCACTATGTTCCTAATATAACGAAAGGTAACCCTACAATGTCATAGATGTTCATACCAATGTAACCCTACAACCAGTTTAGACCCTTAATATAACCACCACTATTTGCCTAAGGCATCATCCAAATTGGGTCAACCATTCTTTTAGTGGGGGCAAGGAACCCAAGGGTAGACAAAGCTTGGCGCAATAGGTAGGGAATGAGAAATGGAACAAACTTGGGGATCACCTGAAAGGAAACCACTAGAAATGGTTTATAAGGGTCATTCCTTCAGTCCCTGCTGAGCACCAGCAAGGAAATGTGCGCAGTTAAGACAGATCCCAAATGATCAGGGCTTGTCATTGTTTGACCAGAGAACAATGGGTCGCAAACGAGCAAGTATGGGTATCCACCGGACTTTGGAGCTTGGATGTGGCACTTGTCCACTTGGCAGGGGCTTTGCAGCTGGTCATGGGATTCGGTCTGTAGGGGAAGTGGGTTTTTGTGGCGTCCTATGAGTTAATGCCGTTTGGGGAACCAGTTGAACATCGACCTTTTGACCTCAAAATGGACCCAGAACCAAAGAATTCACCAGGCGGCTTTCCGCAGCCATCTCGGGCGATTGTCCCTTACTTCCCCGCCTCCCCCCAATTAACATGGAACCTGACGTTCGGGGAATCGGTCCTGGTTTGGACCATGTTCCCTTTAAAGGGACCATTTGCCTGTCAGTTTCCAGGTGAATTGGTGGGAGGCTGCCGGGTTTTGATCTTGACTCAAGTGAGCCACCTCTCTTAGGCACCTCTCGACCCAAAAATCGATTCGAGGTGCCCCTCTTGGCAATCCCCATCCCCGTCTCGGGCGACGAGCAGTACCGCACCGGGCCCCCGAATGTTTTTTTCCGCCGGATTCGCGGGAATGCGTTGCGGATGCGTTGCGGTTGGGTGGTCCTGCGAATTTGACAGTTCTGCCAAGTTGGCAGTTGGGACTTGCTCGCAAGGACATTCCCACCGGTGTAAGGGGCCGCTATGGGCCGCTGGTTTAATCCCACATTTCCCTTAGGAGTGAGGCGGTTTGGGGTTTTGGCGGCTTTGAGCATTTCGTTGATCTTTGAGTGGATAGATGGAAAACGTAATTCACCCAGGACACCTCATGATCTCCAGCTTGGAATTGTTTCGAAATGCTTTCCGGTGCGCCATGGCGATTTCCTGATGTCCAACAAATCGCAATTGAGCAAGGGAATGCGACAGATGCCCTTGCGTTGTGCCTGAATGAGAAACAAAGGAATGACTTCCGACCGAGTAAGCAAACACAAGCACATCAACACGACACATCAAACCAACAAGCCCACAAATCCACAAACTAACACCCAACAACACAACAAATCGATTTGTCATGTCTGGCAAGCCAACAAAGCACATGCAATCGTTCCAGCAAACCAGCAAAACCAACAAACGCAACCAATTGTCACGTGTCATTTAAGCATCCCAGCAAAACCAGTAGCCATGCAACGCAAACATCCCGACAAGAGCCAAGCCCGGGCCAAGGCAAGTACTGCAAGCATCCGAAGGCAAACCGAGACCAAACCAATGAGCCAACCGAACCCATACTGTGGATGCTTGCGAAAACCATTTGGCACCAGCTTTCAGAAACCTTGGTTTCTGCTTCGATGATATAAACTTTCAGCGAACTATTGTTTTATCCCCACCTGGTACTCCAACATCCTACATTTTTGTGGGTTGCCAAAAATAGTCAGGTTTTTCCACTGAAAACCAGGTTTTCGGTTTACCCCGCCAAAACCCCAGAACCCAGCGTGCGCCTCGAAGCCCTTTTCCCGCGATGGCCTCCACCATCCACGAGATCCACGTCCCGCGGGGCACTCGACAGGGCATCGGTTGCCGTTTTTTTTTTGGGGGGGGGGACCATCATAATTGAAAATGCAAAACATTGGAGACAAAGATGGCGACCATTTTGCCCATTATACACTATGATAAGTACCCCTCAGAGACCCAAGCAGCATAAGCCGCCCGAAGGTATCTTTGTGCAACTCTTACGTTTGTTTGCCGTGGTGATACGCGTCTCGCCATTCTGCTTGGTCTTCCAATAAAATCCTCTTGAATCTGACACCCAAAGATCAATGGGTTCAGGATGTGGGGGGCAGTTTTTGCTGGAATGAGCATGCCAGTGAGGAACCAGTGGTGGATCATATGAGCTTTTGGGGTCAAAGCGTACAATGCTCTTCGTTCCCGGAAAGCGTCCTCCGCAAGCGATCGGTACAAGTGCAAAAATCTCAGTCCGAGTCTTGCAATTTCCGTTGCCTCTTTGGCTGGCAGCCAAACGTCCATGCTGTATAGCATATTCAGGCAACGGCTCATTGCTGAAGCGGCCTCGTAGGACTTGCGAAGCATTGGGTCAGGTGGCTGAAACTCTTCAAACCAGCTGATGAACCATTCCAATAAGTGGGTGGAGACGGATCCTTTCGGCCAATGACCCAAAGGGAAGTCTGTTTTCTTTTGCCACGTGATCGTGTCTTCCGTAATCTTTGTCAAATAGGCGTGCCTCTTCGTCCCCTTGCAAAACAGCAGGTATTGTTCAGTCATAGATTCGTACCTTGCCTCGGCCTTGTTTCCAGGGCAAAACGGGAGCATCAAAGCCAAAACTGACCCCAAGAAAACCTTCGCAAGACCCAGGTGCCAGCTGTGCCAAAGGTCTACTGCAAAGAACTCGGCTTCCCTGGATTCATCCTGAATAGGCCAATTGAAGAACTCAGGCTTGATGTTGTAGAAGGTTTCCGTGTGGCAAGTGGGCAGCCACTGCGGGTCTTCCACACCCAGTTCCTCGAAGGGCAGGTCCTTTGTGCCAGCAAGACACATGTGGCAAATTCCAGCTGCTGTGTTGGGGTCAAAGGAAGTGTTCTTGGGGCCTCGGGTGAACCCTCGAACCATGCGGCCACATTTCATGAGCCACGGCCAATCCCCAGTAACATTGATCACCACCATGTGATGCTTCACCTGGCGTGGGCAAGTCCTGCCAGTGACCATCATTTCATACGCATCCTCCGCGGCAAAGCTCAGCAAGGCCCGGAAAGTTGTTTCGTTTTTCCCATACTGGCTTTTTGGCAAAGCTGAGCTAAGAAACCGAGTCACCAAGGAAGGTAATCTGTAGTTGAGCTTCTGTTTCAGATAGCACGGCCTTCGCTTCTTCTTGCTGGCAGAGGTCCCATGCCCTAATACGCTGGAAAAGCTCGATACATAGAATGGCTTTTTCTTTCGGCCGCGGCCTTCGTCTCCATGGTACAGAACAGCACATGTATTTTCCAGCTTCACCTCGCCTTCTTGTTCCAATTGAAAAATAGGATGTTTAGGGCATTGCCGTTTGTACCGCGCCCAAAAGCAACGCCAAATGGCCCGCGAACGGGTATCGTCACGCTTCCGCAACCCAGCAAGCATGTGCCACAGCCCCCGCTTCAAAAGAAAATCGGCCCAATCCGTGAGTCTCAAAGCCACCGCGTCCGTGTTTGGCACGGGCGTCAAAGGGATCGGCAGCTCCAAGCCAAATGATTGAACAACCCGGTGCATATCATGTTCGGAGTGGTCCACGTGGCATGCTGCTAGCTCAGGAATTCCAGTGTCTGAAAGGCATGAGCTTGAAGCTCCAATATCTTTCATGATGCTCTGGGCAGTTCTGATGGCTTCAGCGCAAGGCGCCTTAGATGAACCAGGTGAAAAACTGCAAAGCAACGCATTGTTTGTTTTCCCACGTGGGGCCCAAAACTCAGCCGAAATAGTTTGATAGGCCTCCCGCATCACTGAGGCCAAGTTACACCTTCGCCCGTGCTCTTGGCGAGCGACTTCAATGTGTGCCCGGCACCTGGCACGACTTTGGAAGTGGCACATTTGCCGGTGCAATCATGCAGCCATGCGTGGCTTTCAAGATGCACAGCGTCAGGTTTTCGTGCTGCTGGCAACTGGCAGGGTAGCACCGTGGTGATTGTGGCTTTCAGCGCACAATCCAATCCCCATCTGCCCGCTTGCTGCGCGCCGAATCTGAGTCTATTCCCCGAAGGTTTGTTCGAAGTTCAAAACGCCTGTGCTGGCGCGCTGTGTCTGCGCGGGTCAGCACCTAATGAAGATGCAAATTAATGGCTGACGCAAGGAGGCGGATCTATCCCCCTCACACCAGAATCCCGGAGGCCGTTATCACACCAAACAAGGATTCAAGCACTCACTTGTGCACATATACGAGAACTGGCTCAAGGAAAGTTGGCAGGCTTCCATGGACTCTACGAAGCATTCTTCGACTTTTTCTGGGATTTTGCAAGGTTTTTCTTCCCCTTAGCCTTTGCCGCAGATGCTTGCTGGCCAGGTTCCTCATCTTTTTCAGCCTTCCGCTTTTTCGGCGGGTTGGCTGCACTGACGGGTTCTGACTCATTCTTTGACTGGTAGTACCGTTTGGCTGTCCTGGAGAGATGTGTTTAGCTCAAGTGAGTTCAGCTCTTTCACGCATGAGCCGCACGTGTCAAGGCCTGATCTTCTTCTCCAGCGAGGTCGCAAGCCCGCACCTCAAGACAACCAGGGTTAGCGGCTAGACGTGTACCATCTTAAGCCACTTGCGCGCTGGTTGTCTTTCGGATTTGCTGTTCGGTCCGCTTCCATAGCCTGAGCCAGGACACACGGAACTAAGCAAAGCTCAGGTTGAATCAGGTTGGGGTGAGCAAACAACCGCTAAGCTGGCCACTCGGCGTTGTTGAAACCATCCAAATCCCCTTGTGTCATGCACTCGTTGCAGGCGTCGTATTCCCGATCTAGTTTCGAGATAGTCTCATTCAGCTTTTGCTGGGACCTTCAGCGTTCGGCCAATTCACCGTGAGTGCAATGTTACGAGGGCCAGTTCTGAGCAAACGCTAACAACTAAAGCTCGGGCTCTTTGATTTCTTCTTCGCAATAGTTCCGGCGGAGATCCCTGCTGAGACCCCGCAGTTTCGTGGTTTTGCTCAAAATGCTCTCCATGAAGCGGCGCAAATCTTCTTTTCTCTGCAGGGATAAAGCAAACAACATGGAGGGCCCCCCCCCCTTCCCCACCCTTCGAGAAAGCTGCATCTTGCGTGATTACTTGAAAAATATTGTTCTTTCACGCGGCGCCCCAACCGTTCTTTGGGGGCCCAAAATACACAGATTGCGGGTCACGGGTGTCATAATGAGTTCTTAGGAGGCCGATGGAAACCCAAAACGACCGTAGGGAAAACCCAAAAAGCACCCGAAGGGAATCCGAAACAAACCGTAGGAAACCCGAAAGAGAACGTTCGCCCTACCCAATTTTGCCGTAGATGTATAAGCCAATAAGATGAGTGATTTTGACCTGCCGCGCCTGGCAAACAATGAAAAGGGCATCCACCAACCATGAAAAGTGAATTTCTGGACAATCATCAAAATGGGCTCGTTGTCCAGAAACCTGCTTTCACCCCAACCACCCCCCCCCGAAACCCCCTACTCCCCCGCCCCTGCCCTTAGTTTGCCCAGACAGGGTTAGGTTTAGCAGGTTTTTAGCCACCAGCCTGTGCCGCAGTTTTGTCACGCGTGTCCTCCTCGGAGGGCTTCGGAGCTGCACCCTCGTACTGAGGCTGCATGTGAGGCTTCTTCACCAAATCGAAGGCGCGGGGCTGCTCCGGAACACCCTCCTCAGCCTGCAGCATGGGACGCTCGTCACTCGGCCCCAAAGCACGTGAGTGCATGGTGCCTTCGCATGTTCCCGTCGGACTTCTTCGAATGTCTGCTTTTCCTTTTTCTGTCCTTTCTCCCGTATGGTGATGTAGAACTCTTCAATGCCATCATAGCGGTTGCGCCTTACAGGCAAAACAACAAAGCCCAACCGTCAACCCCTGAAGAGCCTTTGTCACACTCAAGATGGTTGAGCTTGTTTGCAGCGGAAGGGCCGAATCAAGTTTGCCGCATCGGACTCGCAA